TCGACCCTTCTCGAGGTTCTTCTAAGTGTTTGCTGATTTGAGATTCTACATTTATGAAAAAAGCTAAGGCAAGTTTGCCGAAAGTGGCAAGTGTGGTAGAAGATTGGAACGAAACAATGGTTATTAGTAATTTCTGTATATTTCCAGGTTAAGCTCTTCCTTCTGCTCAATGATGTTGAGGGCTTGGTTGGATAGGGCAAGAGGGCCAATACATGAATAGTCCCATACCAATAATTGGCCTCTCCTCCGCGGAATTTAAGTGATCCCGTCAGGTCAATTCCCATCAGATCTGAAAAGACCTTCCGATTTTATTTAAAATGGTTTAAATTTTAATCTAAAATCTTTTACAATAATAAAATAAAAGTATTTTAGAGTTGAAATTTCTATATAATTACTATTATTATTAAATGAATTTTTATAATTACTCAAAATAAAAGACATATGTTATATGGCGTCTAGTTTTATAAATAAAATCAATTATTTTTATTTTAAATAAAAAATTCAATATAAAATTGATAAATGTAAATATATTTTAAAAAATTTCCAAGACCCCATACGGCCCGATTTTTTTTAAAAATATTAAGCCCGTACACACCAGGTCAACTTTTGCATATCTCTAACTCATATAATTGATCATGAAAATTTTCGAGCATTGCATAGATCTAAATGGGTCGGTCTAGATCTTAACATTTTATTTTTAACTTATTTATTATTGTGAAAAATATTTTTATTTGAATTTCGCGGCTATTTACCACATGTAATATCTATAAATTATAAATCGTTGCTGATATATAAATAATGGACGAAAATAGAAAAAAATATATCCCAAAAAAATAAGGGATTTTTTTTTAGAAATAAATGAATTGCCGGGGTGGCCTAGTGGGTTATGATGTGCGATTGGAAACAGAAGGTCCCATGTTCGATCCTGGTAAGGAACGTAAAAATTTTCGGATTTTTCTTCGATGACTGATGTATAAAGACATATAGTAAGATGAATTCCGGAGCTTAGAGATGACACCCTGGTCACCGACAGGCTTGGGCCGGGTGCTAAGGATACTTGTCCAATAAACAAATGAAGAATACAAACGAAAATATGAATATGAAAGCTAGGGCGTTCCTTCCAAGCGACGCGCGTGGTGTAGACCTCCATCCTGCGAAAAGTAAAATAAAGGTCAAAGCAAAGAAAACAAGGTTAGCAAGTTTGAATATTGGTAAACTTAAAGGTAAGACGAGAGAATTGGCATCAATGTTGAACAAGAAAAAAGTTGATATAGCGTGCATACAAGAGACGAAATGGAAAGGTCAGAAGACTTTAATGATTGGAGATGGGTGTAAATTGTACTATAATGGAGTTGTTAGCAATAGGAACGGTGTCAAGATCTAACCTCCTCAGTAGTATAAGTCAACAGGATCTCTGATAGACTAATGAAGATAAACCTCTGCATTGGTCAATCAATACTACACATCCTTTCAGTATATTCCTCAAATGGGTTGCAAGGAAAAGGAGAAAGATGACTTTAGAGCTATCCTTGATGAAGCTGTAATGGAAATCCCTAAGGATGACCTAGTCATAATAGGTGTAGACTTAAATGTGCATGTGGGAAAAGCAAGAGATAGCTACAAAAGGCATCATGGTGGCTTTGGATATGAAGAAAGAAATGATGAAGGAGAGCATGTACTGAAATTTGCGCAAGGCTTCTATATTGTCTTAACCAACACCTACTATAAGAAAAAGGACAGTCATTTAATAACATGAAAGTGGTACAAGGAAAACCAGATAGATTACATGCTTATCTCGCGCAGAGATTAAAAGATGTAATAGACTGCAAAGTCATCCCAGGAGAAGATATTGCTGCTCAACACAAGCTACTAGTCATGGATTTACACATCACAAATAAATCCTCTCAAAACAAGATAAAACTTGAACAATGCATCAAATGGGGTAGATTAAAATCAATGACAGATGCCTTTGCAATCAATGCAAACATTGAAACAAAAGATTCCTGACAAGTCAGTGAAAAAATGTTGACAGACCTTTCATCCAGATTAATAGACACTGCCAAATCGACATTAAGCTTGACAAAGGGAGGCAACAAATTATACAAGGAACTATGGTGGTAGAATGAAGATGTGCAAACCACCATAAAAGAGAAAATAGCCCTATATATAATATGATATTAATCAAAAAACCCAGATGACAAGACAAATTACAAAAAATCTAAGAGAATCGCTACAAAGGCGGTGGCTAGGGCCAAAGCTACGGCATATACGATGACATGTATGAAGAACTACATACCAAAGAAAGCCAAAATAAAATATACAGATTAGCCAAACAGCGAGAAAAGAATTCAAGGGATATAAACGGAGCTCTAATCAAAAATAAAGATTGGAAATTGATAATAAAGGAAAAAGAAATAATGAATAGATGGAAAGAATATTTTCAGGAGCTTTTCAACTTGAAGAACACTCCCCATGTCAAAACCTTATACAACCAATAACAGAACAAGTAATAATCACATGCCTCAAGCATATGAAAAACAACGAAGCTAGGGGTCCAAATGATATTCCAATAGAAAGCCTTAAAGTTATAGCACTAGGAGATGATGGAATACATCTCACAAATCTCTACAATTAAATACTGGGAAATGAATAGATCCCTCAAAAATAGAGGCAGAGCTATCGTTCCTATCTTCAAAAATAAAGGGGATCCACATGTCAAAATTACAGGGGCATAAAACTAATGTCACACTGTCTTAAACTCTACGAAAAAATAATAGAAAAAAGGTTAAGAGACATAATCGAAATAAAAGAGACTCAGTTAGGCTTTATGCCTGGAAGATCAACAACTGATGCTATCCTCGCAATTAGGCAAATGAGTGAAAAATACAGGGAAAAGAACAAAAACTACACATGGTCTTTCTCGATCTAGAAAAGGCCTTCGATAGAATCCTAAGAAAACCTATCTGGTGGGTTCTACGCCACAAAAAGGTTCCCGAAAAATATATAAGAATAATACAGAATATGTATATGGGTCATACAACAATGGTCCGTAGTACAACTGGTACTTCAACATGCTTCATAATAGCCGAGGGAATTCATCAAAAGTCGACTCTCAGTCCACTTCTCTTCATAACAGTAATAGATGTATTATCACAGTCTATACCTCACGTGGAATATATTTGCAGATGATATTGTGATACTTGCCGAATCCAAGGAAGTAAAAGAAAGATTAGTGAGCTGGATAAATAGCCTAGAAAAGCACTGACTAAAAGTAAATAGAGAAAAGACGGAGTATATGGTGATAGGAGGAGATGAAATTGAATGGCAGATATCGGCAATTGAAAGCTGCAAATATTTGGGTTCTACTATACAAACAAACGGCACAATAGATAAAAAGTAAAATTACTCAAGGTTGTTTAAAGTGGAGATCTTTATCTGGAGTGCTCTTTGACAAAAGAATCTCACACAAAATGAGGGGAAAAATTTACAGTTTCATAGTACAACCAACTATTCTATATAGTTCGGAAACATGGCCAACCAAAGAATCAGACGAGAGAAATCTACGAACTATGGAGATGAGAATGCTGAGGATGATTGCTGGGGTAACAAGAAACTATAAAGTGCGAAGTACTAGAATACTAGGAAGTTTAAGTAGTGACCATTAAGACTAAGATAATGGTAAACAGACTTAGGTGGTATGGGCATACAATGAGAAGCCTATGAACTACATAGGAAATAAGGTTGAGTGGAAGTGATGGGTAAACTTAAAAGAGAAGCCAAAACTTCAATGAGGCCATAAAGTTAGAGCCAATATGAAGAAGTATAAATTAATAGTATGAATAACATAAAGTGGAGAGAGATATTGAAGGAGCTTACCACCAAAAAAAGGTGAAATTTTAATCTTATGTTACTCGATTTGAGTCTTTCATTTGGTTAATTCTGACATAAGATTTTTTTTAAAAGAGAAATCAGACATGTTTTCTTTCCTTATTCCATATGAATAATATATTGTAATGTTTAACCCTTCATTGCACAAGTGAAAAAAAAAATCACGCAAGGTGTGGTTTCCTCAGACCCCAATTTAGAAATTCTATCTTTCATATTTTGAGATTTTAATAATTTAATGTTATCTTATCATTTTATGACAATTTTTGCTAAGTGAGTCAAAAATATTCTTAAAAATGACTCAAGTTATTAAATACCATAAAATCATCAAAAAATGAAATATTGATTAAATCGCAAAACATGTTTATCTAAAGTTAATCAATGCCAAAACAAGAAAAATGTTACATGGATGAACAGATAGGATCTATGTGACCCCAAACGCTAAATGAAGTTTATAACTTACTTAAAAAAATCAAAATTAAATTTGCACACATATACTTTATCTAAAAATGTTAAGCTACTAAAAGATTCAGGCAATAATATCGAAAGAATTTTAAGTAATAACGTTTTTTAAAATGACTGGGATCTACATAACCCTTCTTATGCAATGAAGGGTTAATGTATGTAAATGAAATAGTTTATGAATGGATAATGATAGTGAATAAGGTCCTTTTTTTAAATATACCCCCCCCCCTCCTCATTTACACACCTGATTTGTAAATATTCGCAATTACTTCTAAATATTTGAATTCAAGTATATATGTTCCTTGCCGAACTTTTTATTGCTTTTTTTCATAATATAAATGTTAAGATCTAGACCCGTTCATTTGGAGCCATGCAATGCTCAAAAATTTCATAATTATATATGAGTAACCATATCAAATATTTATTTTTACCCCTCCCCTTTTCCAGGTCGTATACGCCATATTAAGTTAGAACTAGGCTTATTTGATACTCGTCCATCATCATATCAGTATTGGTGCTTATAATTTAAAAATGATAGATCAAGATTATTTTTCAAAAAGGTAATAAGTTATAATTTTACATTTATTTTATAAACTTATTAAGTATTTTCTACGATTGTCGCTTGTATTAAATATTTTTATTTAAAAAAGGTTGCCCTTACGCATTGCACCTTCTCAACCCCATTTGATCTCACTCAGGAAAATGATTAAAAATCATGTTTGGATTATTATTTTACTATTATACGTGATAATTCTTATTATTATAGCTACATTTAATTCAAATTCACTTCGTAATTTAATCAATAAAACCTTTTTGATTAAAAGGAAATCACTACCAACCAATATTTATTAATATTACATAAACCTTTTTTTACATATAGATTGTTGGCAATGCTTTATATATAAGAATAAAATATTGAGTTGTTAATTATATAATAATTAATACATATCATGGTGTATAATCTATATTAAAAATTAATGCCTTCGTATTATCTCTTAATGCATATTTATTTATAGTCCTATTGCACTCATATAATGTTGATAAATATTGTCCTCTGTGATTGAATAAATAAAATGATGGTCTTGTTATAATAGATTCGGTATTTCTATTTAAAAAAATATACATTGAGTATAATATAATATTAACTTGTTTTCTATATCATTTATCAACCGCACTTCTTTGAATTCACCAACCAAAATAGATAGAGTATAACACGATATAATTAGGCTAATTATGGCTTGCAGTTTAATCTATATAAAATATATTTAAGTTAGTAAAAAATTGGAATAAGTGTGCCGATCGCTTGATATTTCAATTCATTGGTGCATGCCCATTGGAATATTTTAGTGTATAAATATTTATTATTTTTATTTTTTAATTATCATAATTTTTATTTTAAAATATATTTAACTAAGATTATAATGTTTATTAAAATTGGGTAAAACAAAAAAAAATCATTTTAACTAAGCCCAATCCTGCTTATACAATAAATTATGGCGTACTTATTTTTTTCAGATTTCCAAAAAAATTAACAGTCTTGTTAATCATTTTTTTTAATGAATCATGATCCTTTTATATGACACAAATTGCGCGCCTCTCAGTCATCTCTTTCTGTATTATATTAGTTAGACATAAGAAAAACGAAATTTGAACTCGCTAGCTTTTATATTATGAGATATTTTACCTCTTTTGACTTGTGTTCTTTATAATATGATTTAGAGGGCAAATATTTTCTTTCTTATTATTTTAAGGAGTCTCGTGTGAAGGTGACACGGAACGAAGTGTATTATTTATTGAGTATTTGTTCCTTTTTTGTTTTCAGCTAAAGTACAACAATTTTCATTTATAATGTGTAATCTTATCTAATAAATAAACCAATCTCCCGACGGATTAGTATCAATACATCAGGGTCTTATAGTTGGTTGTGTCGAGACCTAGGGATAAAACAAAAATCAATTCGAATTTGCGCCTATTAGAATTTAATATTTAAAAAAAAAATTATATTGTTTATCAACTACCCAATGTTTCTTTCAATATATCCAGTGCTGTAGTCTTAAGAGTGGCGGAGGCTCTATTACTCTAAAAAAATAAGTAGGAACAAGCTAAAATGTCTACAAAATAAAGGAATTTATTTTGAGGGGAAATAAGAAAAAACACTTGAGGTTTAAAAAAATTAAATTATTTTAAAGGATTCAAGGACTTATAATGATTAATCTTTATTTTCATCGGTTTTGGCGAATTGGAAAGGACGTCATTTTTTGCCATATCGAAACTGATTGAATTAGGGGCTAAAATATTAAATTGCATAGATCCTCACAACATAATAAACATTAAAAGTTTCATTTGATTTAAAAGAGGTCCAAAAGCCTGATCGATTTCACATAGACACCCTACCACTTTCAACCAACTCTTAGTTGCCGAGTTAACTTCTCAATAGGGCTAACACTTCTCACACGTTCTTGGTATTTAAATAAATCCCTGCCCTCATCACGCACACCATCAGCAAGTTAAAGGATCAAAACTTTCCACTTTTAAAAGTTCCGCCCGATTCCTCCCTTCAACCAAGACAACGAGAATGGTAAATTGGGCATGGAGTTACTACAAAAGGTTGGAAGCAATGGCTAAAATCTCGGGTTTTCAGTTGAAAAATTAAGAATATCAATCGAGCTCCGTATCTTACATGCTCCTTTTGTAACACTCTACTTTTGTGTTACTCTTTTTAATATTTTGAAATTTTATTATATTAATTTTATATTTGCCAACATCTAGACTGGAGATCTGCAAAGTCCGGTATTTAAGATATTGCACAAGTTACATTGCCATTTATAGAGATGGTGTGCTTGTTCAATAAAATTTTTTTACTAATTTCCTAGCCTGGCGTTTAAAAATTTATTTCGATTAATTTTCACGCTATTAGTTTACAATGCCTTATATATCTCATTTTTCCCAATGTCAATGAAGTCTCTAATATCTCTATAACATTTTGTACATCAATTGCGTTTTGATATCTCATTAAAGGTCGGCAACGGGCGGATTTTTAGCAAGCCCGCCCAATTAAGTGAGTGGGCGGTCTAAAAAATTTTAAAGAATGGACCGGAAGGTTAAAAAATTTCAACTTTTTTGTTATTTAAAATCATTAAGTAAAAATTTTAAAAAATATGCTCCATAAAATTTTAACATTTCTAATACATTCCGACAACTAAGGATGCTGTCTTCGGAAGAAAGTAATGTAGTAAAAATCCAAAACATGTTGGATTTGATTTGCATGGAAGAATATAATATCGAAGAGGATGAAAATCTAATTTCAGTTTCCCCAAAAGCAAAAAAAATTTAATTAAATATAACGCGGTTTGAATAATCAAAATTAAACACAACAGATAGTGAATGAGATTGTTACAGAGGAGAGCACCGTACCTAATGACATAGCAAAATATTTAAATCTAACATGTTTGAATTGAAGATTTTAGGCATTAGTTTACAATTACAAAGAAATAATAAAGATTTTAAATTACTTTTATTTATTTATTAAGTTTAAAGATCTCATTTGATAAAAGGGATATACCTTAAACGGATATCCTAATTTGGTGGAAACGACAAGAAAAAGATTAGTTAGAAAAATATTCGCAATCCCATCAACTATTGCTTCTTCTGAATGAGAATTTAGCATTGCTGGAAGGTATTTAGAACAAAGAAGAAAGTGTTTGAATTTAGAAAATGTGGATTCATTATAATTTTTGCAATATTACAAAAATATTAAATATTTTTTTTTTCATAAATATTTTATTTGATCAAAAAAAACCTTACCCGTAATTTAAATTGAATATTATTATAATGCTTAAATTTATAATTTTCTAAATTTTAAATTCTAGGGGTGTAGCGTAGAAACTGAATCATTTTTGGTAATAGCTTTAAAAAAATTAAAAGAATGGGCATATTAATTGGGTTAAAAAAAATTTTATAAATAAGCGGGCAGTGAGTAAAAAATTTAAGATTAAAGGGCAGGCGGGTAAAGAATTATAGGCGGATGGGTATATTTTTTAATCTATAGGCGGGTTGGGCAGGAAGTTTAAAATTTGGGCCAAAAACCAGACCATTGCAGACTTTTAATTTATTATATTTTTTTAAATTAGTTCATAGAGCACAAAATTTAGATATAGTTAGTCCTTCAGCTGCTACCGGATGAACACATTACATAAAGATGAACATCTTTTAAATTTATTTAAATATATAATTATTTATATTTCTAACTAAATTTTAAATGGAATGAATTTGATTATCTGTATTTCTATATCATTAATAAAAATAAATAATAAAAATATTATACAAGAGATTTAATATTGGAATGTTATAATTTTGCTCCCACTGTCCCTCAGTTTAAGTGGTATATTTAATAAAAATTCAAAATATTGTATAAAATGTAAAAATTTTAACAATAATCTATAATTTCATGTAGATATTTTATGCAAATTAAAATTTCAATTTCTGGCAAAAAATGAATATCCTGGAAGAGACGATAGCATAGCCAGGGTTTCCACATTTTATATATATGGTGAATTCCATATCAAATCAACCAAAAAAAGTCGATTCTCAACCCGACCCCCTTCAATTTTTTAAATTACATTTGTAAGGATAGCAGAAAGTTTTATTTGGAAAATAACGTCTATGATTGTTTGCAATATATAGATTTGGTTGATGAATTGTATTATAATAGGTCTAAAATAAAAGATTAATTTTTAGAGCAAATAAATTTTGTCCTATTTGATCTCAAAATTTGATAGATAACCCCCACCCCCAAATTATCTTACCCCCATTAAAGCCGCCTACCCCCTTCAAAAAAGGATGCAATCTGCTCCTACCCCCATTCATGTATACGCTGTCCCAAACTGATTTTTTTTATATATACAAAAGAGGAGATTAGTAATGTCTTCTGAAATTTTTATAAAAATTAAAGGCATTATTATTTCCAAAAATTTGTTTTTAATCCACGTCAAATCGATCACGATTCGGCCGACCCCTTTTAAAATTGTTAAAAATTTCCTGAATTATTTAGATTAGTGATCTGCATCGGGCCTAATTTTTCAAGCCCGGCCCAGCCCGAAATTTTTTTTAAAAAGTTTTGCGGGCCTGACCCGAACCTGATTTTTTTAAAAAGTTCTGCCGGCCCGGCTCGAACCCGATTTTTTTTAAAAAAAAATTTACCGACCCGGCTCGAATTTATTTAAATATAGAAATTAATTTATATAATTACTCAAAATAAAAGGCATATGTTATATGTCGTTTAGTTTCAATAAATAAAATCAAATATTTTTATTTTACATAAAAAATTCAATATAAAATTGATAAATTTCGATATATTTAAAAAAAATTCCAAGGTCCGACCCGAATCTTTTTAAAATAATCGGGTTTAACCCGAATTTTAAATAGAATTAGGCTTGATTCCGGCCCGAAGCCGTTCGGACCAGGTACGGACTGGGCCTAACAGCAGATCTCTAATTTAGATAGTTAAGAAAATGAGAAAGCCATTTATTTTAGCTCGCTAGCAAGGCTCCCGAGATATAGGGGCTCAAAGGTCCAAAAAAGAGCCACTTTGGAATCTGTAAAATTTTTAAAATGCTTATATCTCAAAAAGTATTCATAGTAAAAAAAAATATTATATATCAAATTGTAGGTAAAAAAAATCTCTAAAGAGCTATTAAAAAACAATAAAAATTGGCGCCAATATGAGCCATTAACTTCCAGTTTACCTATTAAGCTTTACCTGTGATTTTAAGCAAAAAAGGGAGTTTGTTTTCGAAATTTTTTTATTGATTTTTATTTAGACACCTTTGCTAAATATATATATGTCAAAACTATCGACTCCAAAAATTGATGTAAAAAATAGATAGCGATTTATGAAATTATGGATTATGGTTAAAATTTTGCTGCTAACTTATCAATAACCGGATATTTTCACTTTTTATACTTAAAAATTTTGAATTTCTAATAAATATACAAATTAAACTGAGGAGTAGAGTAGGTAAATGCCCATCAGACACTTAATGTAACAAATTTCCAATACTAAATATCTTTCATATAATTTTTTTAATTTTTTATGTATCTAGAATTTCATCGAATTTTTTATCATTTGATGAAGATAATGGTATAATTTTAGTCGTTAAAGCTTTTTTTTACTCTAGATATTTTTTTCTTCGAATATTTCTTTTCACATAAGCGTTTTCTCTTAATGAGGGATTCCCCTATTGATTGTAGGGATATATTAATCAATAGCCTCTTGATTAATTATATGAGGGGGAGAATCAATATCTACATTGTCATTTGAAGTATAAGGAATGTTTGCTAATTTTTGTCGGCATGAAGAGCATATTAAATATCTATTGAATGGTAAATTTTTTGGGGTCATCCAGAGTAGAATCTTTCTTAAATTCACGCGATAATAAGCATGCTTCTGTAGATTAAATGAGTCACAACATTTTAATAAATGGTACATCCATCTGGATATAAAATAAAATTTTAATTGATCTGCACCTAGAATATGTGTTTTTGCACTTTCCAAATCCCGGATAAAATAATAAGCTGCAGATGGGTTGAATTATTTAAAATTAATCTGAACGGACAAGTTAAAAATATTACGCAGAAAGAGAGATCGTTTTAAACAGTTTATTTTGTAAAATATAATCGATAATATGCCTAATAAAATATTCGTTTTTACTGCAGTTGTTATACATTATTGAGCTAATAAGTCATTCGCTATAGTAGCAATATATATTATCCGTTTTGACTGCAGCTGTTATACATTATCGAGCTAATAAGTCATTCGCTATAGTAACAAAGTAGAGATCTAAAAAATGTAAGATCGTGGAGGGGAAGGGGGGTCAGAACTGGAAAATTTTATCACATTTCTTATATAATATTTTTCAACCATTAGCGCCATTTCTTAAATTTTTGGTAAAATTGTATATTTCGGAAAAGTTTGACATTGTATATAATTTATAAAAGGTGTCTAAATAAAAAGCAAAAAAAAATTTCGAAAACAAACTCCCTTTTTTGCTTAAAAATACAGGAAGCATTATTTTTTTTTT